ATGAAGAAGAAGATCCAGTCCAAGCTAGAAGCGTTAGCTCACCCTGAAATCCAGGGTAATGAAGACTGGCTAGAGTTGCGGTTGGGTTGAAGACGACAGCACGTTTGCTGCACTCCACAAATAACAAGGAAAGAAACATACAAGTAGGGTCAGTACAAAACACGAGTACTGAGTAGATATCATCGGCCAACTCAAAATAGAAAACAATATATATCAGATCATATCATAATCAACTACAATACTCAATTTGTAGCAACAACATGTACAAGAATCTTTGATAAATAACGTCAAGTACACTCATGAGGACTCAAGCCTCCATATCATACTCATTTGGGAAATAGGTTCTTTTCATTCGAATTTATTAACATAATTCCAAGATTCATTATCTTTATTCCTCTTGTGTCGGCACGTGACACTCCGCTCCCCTATTACTATGTGTCGGAACGTGACACTCCGATCCCCTAATTCTACGTGTCGGTTCGTGACACCCGATCCCCTAATTCTACGTGTCGGTTCGTGACACCCGATCCCCTACTTCTACGTGTCGGTTCGTGACACCCGATCCCCTACTTTTACGTGTCGGTTCGTGACACCCGATCCCCTAATTCTACGTGTCGATTCGTGACACCTGCTCCACTAATCTTATTCTGTTAATTCATCAAGACTTCTTTTATACCAAGGCATATCAATCTCATTACTTTAGTTCATCAAGCCTTCTTTTATACCAAGGCATCATCATTAACAAGGGGTTTTCAAGATTGGAGTTTTCAAGATTTGGGATTCAATAGCTTCATCATGCTTATTTCATCACAATTATATAATCATATTCATGCAAGCATACAATTAAGCATATAGAAGACTTTACAATACCACCCAACACATATCATTCGCTATTAAGAGTTAACTACGAATAGTATAAAAACCATAACCTACCTCCACCGAAGATTCGTGATCAAGCAAGTAATTTCCTCAAGATCTTTGCTTTCCTCTTCGTTCCTCTCTCTCTCGATCGTTTCTCCCTCTCTTTCTGTTCTTTTCTTTTTCTTATTCAAACCCTCTTTCTTTTACCCTAATTAGCATATAATTAAGTATGAAAGATGATGAGTTTAACCCACTAACAAGGTTATCTCTTTTAACCCTCAAGTAGTTAAATTATTAACATTAACCCACTAAATTTATAATTATAGCAGGAATAGTCCAAAACGCCCTCTTAAAACATTTAAAGAAATCTGACTCAACCTGGGATTACGCAGTCTGTGACGGGCCGTCGTGACTGCGACGATCCGTCCTGCTGCTTCCGTCACAGAGTTCAGAGACTGAAATTTACTGAAGAGTCTGTGACGGCCCGTCATGCCTTTGACGGTCCGTCCTGCCACTTCGTCACGAAGTTCAGAGAGTGGATTTCAGTACCCAATTTTCAGAATTCTAAGTATTTTGGAACGAGACACCCTCGACGGTCCGTCGACCAAGACAGCTTTTCCAGAATTAAAATTTGCTGCTTAAAACGACTAAACAGATCGTTACAACTAGATAATGAGAATTTCAAAAATATTGTCTTAGTCTTGAATTTTCTTTAACACGTAATAGTTATTCTAATGTTGATGGTTTAGATTTATCTTTTGAATTAAAAGTGTTAACAAAAATAATACAAGTAGAATATACTGATCTAATGAAAATTCTCATTCAAATAAAAAGATTTGATTCTTTTCCAAATATACCTATTGCTTATAGAATAATGTTTAACAAGTTTCTGTAACAGTTACCTCAGCCGAAAGATTTTTTTTTTCAAGATTAAAATAATTCCTCTCCCTTCATTCCTCGATCCGCTTGTAAATTCTTGGTGTAATACCCACTCGTAAATGATTGGTGTAAGAATTTCTCACTAATCAGGTGTGATCAGTCTCATCCGTGTAAGAATTAGGAATTCCTCTTCCAACTCGTCCCAGAATTAAATGTTATAAACAATATTTTAAGAGAGATACAATGAATTAGCTATATTATCATTTGAAAATAAATTATTAAAACAAACTAATTATAAAATAATACCTAATAAGTTCGAATCTAAAATAACTAGAAAATAGATTTTAAATAAAACTAGGGGAAAAGGGTTAAAAATACCCTTTAACTTTGATTGATTAGTTGATTATATCCTTACCGATAAAATAAAGTTATTTTTACCCCTATTATTAATAAGCTTATCATATTTGCTCCTCTATGAACAACGAAAATCCCCAAATCAATTAAATTGTCTTGATTTCTTAAAAATTGACCCATTACCCATTTAAAACCCATGCCCAACCCCTTTTTTTTCTTAGCCCAAAATAATTCAACTCATTTTTTTAAAAAAAATATCATTAATAATTTTGCAATTGTGTTTCCCCAATTCTACCATGATTCTTTATTTGTTGTTCATTTGAACTTTATTTTTTCTTTATCAACAAGAGAAAAACAAAGAAATAGTATAGGATAGGAGAAAAATAAAACGAAAACAATCAGCCAATAAATCGTATTCGATGAAAATAAAATTTTGTCGGAGCAATGATTTTGTTGATCGGATTCAACATTAACAGGGAAGAGAGAGATGAAAATGCAGATATTGACAAATGACAACTAATTAAAAATGTTGATCAAAATGTGGAGCCAACTAGCTAGAGTTCAAACAAAGTAAACTCCCAATCTAACCACCAAAATCCATAGAGAGTCCTTCCATGTCTCTTCAGAGCATAGACTAAATCGATAGCAGTTAACAGTCTTTGAAGAAATTTGAAATTTTCACATTTCACGACCAGACATTTTCACAGAGAAATTTGAAGAAGAAGAAATAGTAGTTTTAGGGTCTAAAATTTAGGTGAAATGAAAATGATGGGTTAAGATAGATAGATGGGTAATATGTCACTCTTTATAGAAATCGGATCAATTTTGATTGATATGGGTTTCTGTCCATAGAGGGGCAAATATGATAAATATATTAAGGAAGGTAAAAATAATTTTATTTTAACGATAAGGATATAATAAAGTTGAGGAGTATTTTTGATTTTTTCCCATAAAATTATATATATAATGATAAAAATGAAATAGAAAAATTTCATAAATTGATACATTTTAATAAAAAATTACTGCTTTTAGTAATACTTTTTATTTATTATCATTTATTGCAATACTATGTTAAATTATTAAAAGTAAATTATGTATGCAATATATATGAATTATAATTATTTTTAAAATATATTATATTTATTTGATAAAAATTTGACATATTATATTATAAGTGAATTAAAATAAGTAAAAATAAATTATATATCATTAAAATATATATTATATATGAATAAAAATTATTCTTTATAATATCAATTAAACTCGTTAAAAACGATCAACTAAAAAGAAAAATATATTTTGTTATTGCAGTATATTTACGTAAGTTTACCGAAATATTAGGCCTCTTTTAAGTTTCTTTAGGCCTGTCACTGAAACTATGGAGACTGCCGGAGAAACGGCGCAAGCTCCGTCTCCAGCACCGGAGAAACAGTGGGGTGAGAAAGTATCAGAAGCAGTGCTCTCGGTATACCACCGTCTACCGAAGAAAGGAAAACCTCAAGGCCGTGAAGTCACTGTTTTGGCTGCTTTTCTTGTATCTTCACCTTCACAAGGTCCTATGAAGGAACAATTTTTGAAAGTCCTTTAAAAAAATTGATCCTTTTGCCGATTTCTATTTTCTATTTTGCTGAAGTAACCATAATTGCTTATTATTTTGCAGAACTGAAAGTGATTTCGCTGGGAACGGGAACAAAATGCATAGGCCGTTCGCGACGGAGTTCGAATGGAGATGTTGTGAATGATTCGCATGCTGAAATTATCGCAAGAAGAGCTCTACTAAGGTCTTCTTTTTTTCCTTGTTAATTTTACTTTCTCTGTCTTATTAAGAACAATCTTCAAAGCAGGAATTGAACTGGATTCTTCAAAAAAAAATAATTTTGGATATTTAGAACATTATAAATTGATAAGCAAACTGTTCCAATCATGGATGATGACTTGTATGAGTAGTATCAAAGCATTCTCGTTTTCACTCGAGATCATCACGAACTGATTATACTTCGGCAAACCAGTATTCTGAAGTTGACAGACTATATTACTGTTTTGTTTTTAACAACTAATGAGGATTGGAATATTGTTGTCTTGTTCAAGAAAGATGGGACTAACATCTTTCCCCTCTGGTAGTATTGGAAGGGGCTGAAAACTCAAAGGTGGTGGCATTCTGATTTTAGTTCTAAACAACTCCGAGAAATGAACCTTCGCCCTCCTACCATTCTACCCTTCACCTTAAGCAGAAACTGGTTTTTCATGCTATTCATAGGAAGTGATCGACCTAACTTCTAAACTCTAAGGCGTGATTTTTCTGGAGTGAGGAAACGCTACTCAAATTGGGCGATGAAAGTCCTTTTTCTAAAATTTTAGGAGTGTAGTACCTATGCTGCAGTGCTAATGTCTCTTTTTTGGGTGTTGTATACTTAAGTTTATCAAGGATATGTCTAGGTGTACATGAATGAAATATGTCCTATCGTTGGTTACAGGAAAATGAATTTTATCATTATCCTTGAAGATTTTCTTTGATCACACCAGGTACTTGTATTCAGAGATTCAAGATGTTTACAATAGTCATGCACGTAGCAATGGAAGTGTGTTATGTGATGATGTGGACAACTTCATGTTCCATTTGGAGAGTGATGGTTTAGGAACAAAAAAATTGAAAATGAAGCGCGGGTGGCAGTTACATTTGTACATTTCACAATTACCCTGTAGGTAGTGGTAGTCTGTTATACTTCTTTATACCCTTTCTTCAATTCATGTAAGAGTAGAACTCTCTGGATTTTCAATTTAGTTATTATATTAGTTTCTTTGCAGGTGGAGTTGCCTCACCAGGTTCAGAGCTTGCTTTATTGCATGATAGTCCTGCAAAGAATGGGGACATGATGTGCCCATCTATGCAACTTAGTTATTCAAAAGGGGACTCGTCGGGATATACTGCTATGAATGATGGTATGACCATAGTAGTAAAATTAGCCATAACCAGTTCCTTTAATGCCTTTCTTGAGCCCCTTATTGTCTGTCATGTAGGACCTTTTGGGTGTTCTGTTACTTGGATTTATTGGCGAAGATATGTTTAAATTAATTCCAGGTGGGGTAGGATTTTCATTTGTTTTGATCTTTTCTGCTAGAGTGTTTATTGATATCTCTGTTCACCGGTCAGGCTGAGTTTGTTAAGATAAGAGTACTAACATGGATTCCTAGTCCAAGCCTGGTCGCAAGCCTGTAGTCCAATTCCATTCTGGCCTACTGTGAGCACTCAGTTTATATCTTTTGGGATATTTTTTTTTCACTTTTTGATGATTCAAGCTCAACTGATAGGGCTCAATATCTAGTTCTTAGCCCCTTCACTTAGCATGTTGTCTTGATGGGTTGGTGGGGCCTCTGACCTTTGAATAATCCTATTGAGTGTGTGTGCAAGTCAAGAGTGGTAGTAAAGCTGCAAATGTCTCTATCGGAAAGAAGATAAAAATTAAGCACAATTTAGGAGATAAAGATCTAGTGCATTACCTCAACTACAGTGTGCGATTTTCTTTCCTGGGCCAGTTTCATTGGAACAAATGAGATCATCAAATCCTTATATTCCTTCTTACAAATATGAACTGTTATCACTTACTCTTTGAACATGTCTTCTTCCTCGTGAGGTATGCTTGAAATTGTTTATAAAAAAAAAAAAGGAGGAAGAAGGTAGTACGTTAGAAATTTTTTAAAAATAAAATAGATCTCCTTTCCGAAATTAGGTTCCTGTCTTCATTATGTGCATGTATATTGATAGAGAAACTAAAAATATATATTGTTTATTCTCAAAAATAAAAATGTATATATTGTTTAATCGTTATAAAGGGATTTAAATTGATCAACATCTAGCACCCTTTGTTTTTTTGCTTTTTAATCCTTTAGACTAAGGATTTATTTTTTGATTTGGTAAGGTTTTCTACTTTTTGGTATACTCCTTGTAAGCGAGTTTTTATTTCCCTTGTTTATAAAATGTTATAACTTTACCGTGTATGCTAAAGATTTAAAAGCAAAAGGACCAAGGTGAGCTTTTAGTTTAAGCTGGGAGAGTATCCTGCTTGTGACTGTTTAGTATTCATCACTTATTCTGGTATGGATTTTTTTTGTAGTGTAAACATTAATAGTAAACACATGTCACATCAGCAGTTAACTGACTTGAGGACCAAATTATAGCGTTCATTTTTTTTTAGAAAAGGACTGATCATGATGTCTATGGAATGTATTCTAATAAATTGGAAGTGTTAGCCTTTCTGTGTCTTCTACATTATGATGTCTTCTGAAGGAGTTCCTTAGTTTTGGTTTTTGAAATTACCCAAGCAACAGTTCATTGGGCAAATGCAGATCATGGATTTGGAATATTAGTTTGTAGCAGTTGTTACGAACAATTATTAGGCATAACATAACTTATCTAAGTAGCAAAGTTGACAATAGTTGTATGGAGGCTGTGGAATAGGGTAGAAGGTTAGTAGGTAGTTGAGTGTTTTCGTGTTTTTTCAGTGGGATTAGGCTTGTCGGTAGTTCGTAACACCATGTATGTTGTAGTATTAGCCTTATTCATGTTGCTTCTTGCTTGTCGATATCTACCATATAACGTTGTTACTGTTCCTTTTTTGTATGCTTTGTATTGCTTTTCATATTGGTTGCCGTGGTTTCTTCATTTTTGTATTTCCTTGTCATGACTATTTTGATTTGATACACTTCAGTCAAGGGTCTTTCGAAAACGGAAACAACCTCTCTACCTCTACGAGGTAGGGGTAAGGTCTGTGTGAACTCTACCTTCCTAGACCTCACTTGTGGATTACACTTTGATGTTGGCTCACTTCAAGATTTTTCCACCGAAGTTCTAATTTGGGAATTAGAAACTCATGTTCTCCTGTCTGTTTATTTTTTTCTTAAGAATAATTTCAGATTTCTATCTTTGCAGGTTCTTTCCCCATACCCCTTGGTACAGTCATGCGAAAACCTGGCCGTGGAGATACAACTTTGTCAGTCAGCTGCTCTGATAAAATTGCCCGTTGGAACGTGGTTGGTGTACAAGGTTCCTTATATTTCTAGTTGTTACATATGCTTTCAATAATGTTATATATATGTGTGTGTGTGTGTGTGTGTGTGTGTGTGTGTTACCTTTCTCAAAATATATAAATAATACAGAAGCTGTTGCAGCACATGTTCTTTATCTTGTATTTACTGATCTTTTTGTTTTTATATTGTGCACTGTTTTAAAATGCATCAATGATGTTTGACAACTGCAATTGATCAATGTGGTGATAAGCAGTTTCTCTAGATCTACTAAAATGATGTGTTAAATCAATCTTTCACTTCATTTAATTAATTGAGATTTAGCAGTTAGATGAAATTATCAAATGTTTTACCAGATTGTTAATCTTCTTTTGTAAATGTCCATCTTTGATGGAGTTAATATGCCTATCATGAAATCCCATTTAATGTCAGGGTGTTAGTAAGACATCCACAAAGTCATTATGATATCTGACTATTCATTATGCAATAACATGGTTGGTCTGATGTTCACTTGTTTGGTTCATGGGATTGTGAAGTACTCCCTGAGTTCCAATTTATGTGTCTTTCCTTTCTAGTCTATTATAAAAAGAATGCCACTTTCTCTATTTAGTAGCTCTTTAATTCAATCATCACTCCCACCATGTTTAAGACCACAAGATTCAAAGGGCATTTGGTACCATTCTACACCTTTAGTTTAAAACGGTAAGAATCCAAAAGTCTTCCTTATTTTCTTAAACTCCATGCCAGCTAACTAAGACACATAAATTTAAATGGTGGGAGTAGTTTGTGATGTATCATCATATGACTTTTTGAAGAATTTTTTTTCCTGGTGCTTAGACTCTTAAATTGCTGAAGAGATTGTCTCATGAAATGGAGAAACCTGTGAACACTGCTCTGGTAGGTATTGTATTAACAACTTTGTGAAGCCTTCCTCTATAGAGTGCTTTCAAGATGTGCTGTAATGAAATTTTCGGTGGTTGTTATGGTACTTTCTGGTGGTAATCATTGTTTTTACTTGAAGCCAATAGTTAATATTGCAGGAGCCTTGCTTTTACTTATCGCGGTGATCTTTTAATATTTACCGGAAGTTCTGTATTGTTTCTGATTTCAGTCAGTACCGTCTTACTGCAGGAGCTCTACTTTCTTACTTCTTGGAGCCAATTTATATTTCTTCTGTGACCATTGGACAATCCCATATAGCTTCAAAAACCTCTATTATTGAAGATGAAGTGATGAGGGCTACATACGAGCGTATCTTACCATTGTCCAACAAGTTAATGGATCCATTTCAAGTAAACAAGGTTTCTGCACAATTTTCTAACCATGCTTCTTCATCTTATCCTCACTGTCTGTATGTTACATTTTTTCCTTTCACCTTTGGTAGCCACTTGTCTTTGTTGCGTCAATTCCACCCGAGGAGTTTCAACATTCTGAAACTGCTCTGACTACTTTAACATGTGGGTAGGTGAATATTCATTTATCTGGACGAATAATCTGTTGGCATTTCTATTGTATTTACTTCAAAGAGTGTGTTCTAATGTCAAGGTACTCCATATGCTGGAACAACTCTGGATTGCATGAAGTCATTCTTGGAACCACTGGCAGGAAGCAGGGCACTTCTGCAAAGGGCGCTATGTCTCCTTCCACCGAGTCTTCTTTATGCAAGTAAGCTCATCAGAAATAGATTTTAGAAAATTCTATAGCGTTGCTGTTCTATGATTCTTAATTTCAGTGGAATAGAATTTAAGAAAATTCTTTCTGATGATTGATGAGGAGTCCCACAATTTTGTTATTTTAAGTTTTTAACTAATTAATGTGCATACTGCACACCACGCTGTCAACTAGTTAATAAAATGTGCTTTAGTACTTTCTCCATTCTGTTATGTAAATGTTTAGCCATGATATGTGGAATATCTTGTAGATCTTTGTGGGAATGACATATACTATGATCGTTTCAGGAAGCGCCTTTCGGAATCCTTCTTATCACTGTCATGTAATTGCTTAGGTGAACATGCTTTCGTTGGGAACTCTTATCGAGAACTAAAGGTGACTTGCAGTTCTTTGTGTACAAATGTTTGCATATTCACGAAAACTTATTGGTATCTCTTTTCATTTTGGGTTAAGAGGCACTAATATTTCATAGCAATAAAGGTGAGATGTAGTCTGTGGATACAAGTATATGCGTATTTTGTTAAATAAGGCATTGTTCTTTTGTCATAATTTTATACTGCTCACTTTAGCTGAACTGAAGAGAGACTAATATTTTCAAGGTGAATTCGTGAAAACAGACTGTTTCACCTTCTTTATATTATCTTTTGCAGGATAAGTCGCAAGAATATAATGTAGCTTCAGAAACCTTTAAAGGAAGTTCAAATTTCAAGAACTGGTTTCTGAAACCTCAAGATTTTGAGGCCTTCTCATTCATGGCTCCGTGAGGTGAGTTACTGCTTTAGATAGATTGCATTACTGACAAATGACTATAATATTGGCTTATGTAAATTACGCAAGTTTATTGCAAGTGATTCAGAAGATATTGAGTCTTGCTGGGACAATGGTGGATCTGTGAATGATTTCGACAGCTAAAAACGCTTAACATGGTCCATGGGTGACATGATTTTGCTTCAGAGGCTGATAATTTGAGCCCCTTCTGGGCTAACTCCATTGAATTGACAGGGGAATTGCTGAAATCATCTGATTCATGTTTTTGCTTTGTTGAAGTGTCTGTTAGTTTTGTGTCTTTTAGTGAGAATGAAGCTACGTAATTAGGATGTCTCAGACTAATACTTATAAAATTTTTATACTACTCAATACTCTTCTTGGAGGAAGACATAACATTATATTGTGTTGGAACTTCACAATGGCGTTCTCAAGATATTCATGACCATTTAGGAAAAGTAGATGATTAAAAGAACTTAAGAAGAGCTAGGTAATATTTTAAAACCATCTCTATTTGCCTCTTTTAAATTCTTTTGAGAGTATTTTATTGGGTTCATGAACTTTAATTTGTGGGAGATTTTTGCTTATGAATAAAGGATTAGTCTGTAATATCAGCTCATTAAAAGGTTAGTTTTCTCAACAGAAAAATAAATAAAATGGTTTGGTGAACAAAGCATTTTGCCTTCACCATGTATATAGGGGCTGAGCTACGCTAGGGCAACGGTGTCACTCGATACCCTTTCGTTGGAAATTACATTGTATATATTGTATATATAGGTCAAAATTTTATTTGATAAATATGTAATACAAGTGTTGACACCTCTTGATACATTGTATATATAGGTCAAAATTTGATTTAATAAATATGTATACAAGTGTTGACACCTCTTGATACATTGTATATATAGGTCAAAATTTGATTTAATAAATATGTATACAAGTGTTGACACCTCTTGATACAAGCTAATGGTTTAGTGTAGTTGTTAAGGGTTGCAAAAACTGCTTGAGGTTCTGTGTTCCGTTTGATAGCATCACATGTATATTTTGACACTCCTTACTAAATATTCTGGCTCTGCTACTCCATGTATGCCGCGGAAGCATAAGATGATCTTTTTTCCAGCCCAAGCTTTGTTTGATAAAATAACCATATTGTCACAAATTCTTGGGTGTGTTTAGTGTGATGGAAGAATAAAAAAATATTTATAGGAAAATGAGTGAATTTCTAGTTATTTTCTTTATGTTTGGTATACAAGCAAACAATATTATCGAAAAAACATTTACATATAATCTAAAAAAATACTATAAGAGTAAATATAGAGGGTGGATGGTTGTGGGGATGGGGCTATGGGTGGAGGTGAATGTAAAATTAGTTGACATTTGTAAGACTAATAATTTCAAAGTTATGAGAGTAGAATGATTCTTTCAGGTTGTAACAATAAAAAATTTCAGGTTGTAATAAGTTATAAAAATAAAGTTTTTTTCAAGTAACGATAAAAAGTCCGTTTTGAAAAAAAAATAAAAAGATAAAAAGAAGGATAAAAAAAATTGATTTTGAAAAAAAAAGGAGGATAAAAAACGTATATTAAATTAATTTTGTATTCATTGATGATAATTGTTGATTGACATAAATTTAGGAGATTCAAACTAATTAGGAATATCTATTTTCCTTATTTTACCCTAATTTGTTAACATTAATTAAAAAAATTAGATTCTATTCATTTTCTTATAAGTTTCTCATTGTATTTTTTTTCTCCAGAATTTAGCGTCACTCACACATAGATTCAATATTTTTTGTTTGAAAAATTTTCATTTTGTTGTAATAGTCGACTTCTTATCTATATTAATTAAATATGATAGTAGATTGGATCCTTCTGGTTAGTATTTTGTGTCATGGTCAAATCAGGATAATTATCTAGAGTTAGTGATTCTAAGCTGATGATCTAGATAAGTCAGCATAGCAATAACACCGATGTTTGGTCAATTGAATTCTGCGCATCTACTGTTTATTTAAAGAAGAAAAAGAAAAACTAATGTTAAAAAAACTTTAGAACTGAATATCCACATTATATTATAATCGTTACTCATAAGTTATACCATCAATGCTTGAAATATCTACATATTCCCTTTGGCTGACCCATTTGAACCTTTTCAATTTCTTTATGGACATCATCCTAATGTATACATTAAAATTAAAATTTATTCGGACTAGCGCCTATGTGGCATGCCACAATGATGAAAAAAATAAAATAAAAAATAATATATATATATATATATATATATATATTTAAATAATCAGTACTTTTTAGTATTATTTCTTTTTATATAATAATATTATGTGTGTATATATATATATATACATATATATATTGCTATTAATAAGTTACTTAATGAGCATTACACCACCTAACCTTTTAATAATATATATAACACCTAACCTTTTAATTTAATAATATAACTCTTAACCTTTCATATATTCATAACCTTCAAAATATTTAATATAAAAATTATAACTCCTAAATATTATACCTATAAAACCCACTTTGAGACATCGCATGATCGTCATTTTATTTTTATTTTTCATTTTTTATTCCTTTGATTTGTTAATTTTTTGTCTTCTTTGATTTGATTTTTGCAGGAGAGGGATGTATTAATGAAAAATGTTATATATTTTGCATATTTTGATTTTGTGAGGTAAAATGATTTGACATGTCTAATTATCATTATCACTTTTGTTCTATTGCAGTTACATATATATTTGATATTATTAGGTTGGATTGTTGATGACACAAATCATGATTCTTTTATAGAAAAAATAATTTGTTCATTTTCTTTTTTGCTTCTCTTTGTAGTTTTTTGAGATATTTTTTCTTATTATTGTAGTTTCTACAGACACTGATTGTCTTTATTCACTTTGTAAATTTGAAGAATCGAATTATGTTATGTTGAGAACATGATCCTTCTTTCCTCTTCAAATCATATATAACTTAAATATTTTAAATATTTTTGCTTGATTAGTTAACTATAATTTTGTGTCTTTTTGTTGTTATTATTGTAAGGATTGTAATTATGTTATGTTGCGAACGTGATCCTTCTTTCCCCTTCAAATCCTATATAACTAAATATTTTAAATATTTTTGCTTGATTAGTTATTAACTTTATGTGTGTCTGTTGGTATTATTGTAACGATTGTTTATAGTTTTCCGGTTAAACCTCTGATGCAATAAGAGTTGATTGATTCCTTATCAGATTAATTAGTTAATTGAAAAAACGTCAACATATCTTATTTCTAATTTCGTCTAACAATATCTTTCTCCTCACTAGCTATAAAAATGTTATACAAATATATAATAAATATAAGTAATAAAAAAAGTAATATATCACATCTCAATATAAAGTAAATAAAATACTAAATACTAAATATTAAATACAAATATTATATAGCTAATAATCAAATAAATCGATTCCTCTTATATCTCGCAATCACATAACAATGATATGGTAAAAATACATAATTTAAACGTTGCATCATTTTTTATATTATATATATATCGAAATTATTTATAGGCCAAATGTTTCACAATTTTGAGAATTTAATCAATAAAAAATTAAATATTTTTTAATTTTATTTTAAAACATTCGTACGATTACTTTTTTTTTTTTGATAATTTCAAAACTTATTCTATTCCCTTTGATTAACTTTTTAATTCTATTTCCCTTTTTAAATTTGTTTTTAATTAATTTTTCTCTTAATAGATATCTCTCCTATAATATAAAATTAGAGAAAAAGTATATACTGTTCAAAATAATAGTAATTACTAAAAATAATGTTTATTATTAGAAACATATTTGGAGACTTTTAATAATTTGAAATTTCTAAAATGAGGTAAAAAAAAAT